AAATAATTACCGATGAGAGTTTACTGAGGAACAAAACTAATTATAATGAAGATGTTTTGTTGAATAATTCAAAGTTGACTGGTGTTGTTCGCGAGCGCCTGTGGAAGACTGGAGCGCGAGGAAATGTGGCACGAGAAAGGACACAAGAGAAGTGTTAAACAATCACTGATTTATTCACACGCGAATTTACACTAATCAACAACTTAATACGCAAAACTGCTTGGGTTTTAGGACTTGATTCGACCAAGCTCGCGCTACAAGGCTCTCGCTTTAGCCCTTTCAACAAGGAGGAACTCTCGCGAAGCAAAATCACACCGATGCTTTCAAGTCTACGACAGAACGGCCGCGAATTTTGGGGATCCGCGCTATTTATGGGAGAGGCGATATCGGTTTCGAGCCGTCGCGTCGGTGGCCAATCGCCTCCCCCAAATTTGAGTTTTCCAAGGTGATTCTCAGGGCGCGGGGAACCATTGGTTCCCGCGCGGCCCTGAGTGGTACCGCGCGCGTTTGGCATGCGCGGAAGGCCGATCGGCGCGGTGGATTGGTGCTCCGCGTATGACGCGGCCCGTGGCGCATGCTCGCGGTGTCGCTCGGGGAAGACAACGCTTGATTTCGCGTTCTCCAAAACCGCTCGTAATTGTTTGCCACGGGCAATGTTTTGGAGAATGTTGTTAGCCTGAGTGTTTGTCTCGACGAGAGGACACGAAAGACCGCTCCCCCGACCACTGAGGGAAGCCAGAGAATATTATCGAACGACTGTCGAGACAAAGGCTCAGGCTGCCGCGAGCCGATTTATGCGAAATCGATGCGAATTATAGCGAGAAGCAAACCCTCGCTTTACGCTTGCCCGGCGCTATGATGCCTCCGCGAGAGGCTGAGACGTCGGGTCTCAAACATCCCGCTCGCCTCGGCACGGAGTGACGAAACCGACACAGATGGCTCGCAAAGGATGCCTCGAGCGGTATACGAGAGTCTCGGTAGTAGCGGCACTCGCGACTAGTATGGCGTTCTTTAGGTGAATGAGGTGGGGGGCGGCGACGAAAATCGCACGCGCGCGTTGAATGAGCGTAGTGACACGGAGTAGTGAGCACCTTCGTACAGGTTAAAGGTGATACAGAGAATATAAGTGAGTGAACGTGAAGTGACAGATGGAAACGTGCGGGAGTTTACGAGGCGATCGAGTCCGCGGCTTTCGGAAGCAACACGATCTTCACAAGTGGCCGAGTGAGTTCGGATGTGACTGTGCGGACGGTCACCACGCGCACGACGCCGTCGTCGCCGGGGTGCAGGCGGGTGATCCGGGCGAATGGCCATCGACTCGGTGGTGACGCCTCCGATCGCAGGAGGCACAAGTCTCCGACGTCTGGGGCGTGCTCGGCTTTAAGCCACTTCGGCCGGTGAGTCAGTCCGTGGAGATGTTCCTGTGACCACCGATGCCAGAAGTGATCGCGCATACCTTGCAGAAGGCGCCAGCGGGAGAGAGTATTGGCTGGCTGCTCGGCCCGTGATGGCTCGGGGATGGCCAGGAGAAGAGCCCCAATCAGGAAGTGGCCCGGCGTAAGTGCTGAAAGGTCGTCCGGGTCGTCTGACAGGGCCTGCAAAGGACGAGAATTAAGGCATGCCTCGACTTCGGCCAAGAAAGTGCTCATCTCTTCAAATGTGAGCGTAGCGTCTCCGATGATCCGCCGAAGATGATGCTTCGTGGATTTGACCGCAGCCTCCCACAGTCCTCCGAAGTGGGGTGCGGCAGGTGGATTAAAGGACCACTTGATTCCGGTCGTGGCAGCGGCGTGAGCGATGCGGCGGCCGTCGGAGCTCGACGCTTGAAACAGCCTACGCAATTCTTTATCCGCTCCAGTGAAATTCGTGCCGCAATCTGAGTACATCTCCTCGCACAGGCCTCGGCGGGAGACGAAGCGGCGGAAGGCTGCAAGAAATGCGTCGGCCGAATAGTCCGAGGCAACCTCCAAGTGCACCGCTCGAGAGAAGAGACAGATGAACACGGCGATGAAGGCCTTGTGGGACCGGCGGCCGCGGCCCTTGGTGGTGCGCACGAAAATCGGCCC